AGCCGCCGAGGACTAGGCGTAGTGGCGCGACGCGTGAGGTGGCTAGGGTTAGGCGCGGCCGACTTGGGCATCAAGCTAGAGGATTGGAGTGCAAGCCAAGTATTTAGGAGTTATAGTATTATTGGGATTTTATGGTAGTAGAATATGTTAAGATATTTACTTTCCTTAGGATTTATATTCTTGCATGAGTTAGGAGTTCTAGTTAGTTTAGGCTTAGATTTATTTAGCATCTATAAATACCCATGTACTCTTCATATTGTCATAAGGTGATGGATGAATAGAAAATCGTTCGTAAGAGAAAAACCGTGTGTTTCGAATTCGTGAGAGTCTTATCATACAAACCAAGTTAGTGAGGTTAAGACCCAAGCTAGTTCAAAATCGTAAGAGACAAGGCTAATTAACCAAGTCAATCGCACCTATCATCTAGTGCAAGCCGTGGCAAAGCTAGTTCTAGGCAAACGAGTTGAGCCGAACACACGATCCTTCATCATTGGTGCTTTCATTGAGAGTGATTGATCGTGTGTTTGGTTAGACTTTTTTCTATCCTATTCTTTTTTTTGGTTCGAATTTTTCCCACCTTTTGTTCGAGTTTTTCTTCTTCTTTTTTGATCTCTTCCCTTCTTTTTATTCTGAGTATAAAAAAAAGAGTTATGACGAATCGTGAGAGGTTCGAGATGTTGGAGGAGAGCATGAGGTCCCTTGGCAATGGACAACATGTGGTCAACGAAAACATGGCGAAGTTAGAGCTCATGGTGCATGATTTGGCGGAGAAGTGTGATCGGGCCACACGCCTACCGAGGAGAAGATGCAAGTCGGGGTCAACCACGGCACGATCGATCAGCACCGAGGCCGACCGTGATGACGAAGATCGGTGCTCACGGAGGACGTGCGTATCGCGCGCATTGCACCACCGCGACAACCGACAACGCCGAGACAATCATGCACACGCACGCCCGATGATCACCATGCCAATGTTCGAGGGAACAGATCTGGATGCATGGCTCAGTCGTGCTACCCAATACTTTGAGATTAATGGCGTGCCAAGGAGCGAACGAGTCAAGATAGCCGCCTATCATCTAGACGGTGAGGCTAATGTGTGGTGGCAGTGGATGTTGCACAAAAACAAAGACGAGCACATCCGGTGGAGAGATTTCGAGAAGGATCTAATCACGAGGTTTGGGTCAAGTGATTACTACGACTACGATGAGGCGTGTTTGTCCCATTTTTTTGTCTTTATTTTGGGTTTATTTTCTCTTTATTTTTCCCCACTTATTGGATTTTTATAGGTTATTTGGTCCAATTCTGTGATTTTTCCATTTTTCTCTTTAGTTCGTTTTGTGCGTCTTTCTTTGCTGTGTTTGCTTCGTGTTTTCTTCGTGTTTGTGTTTTCAGGAGGTAGGTTGTGTGGATCGAGGACGGGACTACTTGAGCTTAGGCCAGGATATCAAGA